ACGATCGTCGATTTGTACTGCTCCGAGATTGACCACAGTGAACCTTCAATATGTTCCCTCGAGGACGCAACTCGGGGTCACACTTCAAATTCTGCTTCGAGCTTCTCGAGGTCGGGCGTGGAGTGCCACAGTAGCCCCAAAGTCAAACTCTCCGATTTTGACCGTATACAACTTGAACAAAAAAAGGTCAAAACTGCCCATGTACTATTGGATTTGGTCTAAAAATACTATTTCTTCACCTATTTTGCTACCGGAAAGAGTCGTTTATTTAAGGGCATAAATGGGCCAAAAAATAACAATAGCGGCAAAGAGGTGAACAGATGATATTTTAAAACAAAACTCGATCATAGTTCGTGGACAGTTTTGACCCTTTTTCATAATTTTAATATGGGGGCCGGGAGTGTAAGGTTAGTTAATTTATAAGATAGTCTCATCAGAAACAAAAGTCTAGTTTTAAACGGCGAATGAAGCATATAGCGGCTGCCTGTTAAAGTGAAGCATAGCTTATCTAGTTGTCTGTGTATATAATTGAAAAACACCATTATTGGCTTATATAATTGAAAAACACCATTATTGGCTAACACTACTCTCTCCGGTCCAAAATAAGTGATTTTTTGGATGTTTTCACATAAATTAAGAAATCCACCTTTTAGCATTAATTAGCAATGGAATTGACCATATTAACCTTTATTATCTCTCATAAATAATCCTAACACATATTCCAACACCATTTACTTCAAGGACAATGTAGGAAAAAAATAATTAATTCATTCTTGAAATCTGAAAAAATCACTTATTTTGGACCACAAGAAAAAGGCTAAAAAACCACTTATTTTGGACCGGATGAAGTATATTATAAGTAGTAATTATGGTTCTTGGATCAGGCATATCCAAATTAGGAATTTGCCACCCAACGTGTACTATCTATAGAAATGAATTCTCCTTGTTTTGTTCAATCCTTTTGCTCTTGTTTTCTTTTAGCAGTTGAATTCTTTTCAATGCCGCTGAATATGGAAAAGCAGAAACGATAAGATCTTCGTAAGGGAAAAATAAAAAGAAGTGAGAAAATGATAAAATAAATAGATGTACAAGATTATAAGTGAACCGGGACGCAATTTGAGTCGTGATACTGTCCTGTGGAGCACTTCTGGAGTGGTGGGACGAAGCAAGCCAAAAAGCAGGTGGCACAAGCTCCGCGCTAGATCCAAGGCTACTCCTTGTGGGGGCGAATTCACCTGGAGTCCACAGACGTTACGGTTTGTTACTCCAGTTCCCAGGGGCCGCGTGTCACAAGCCAAAGTAGCTGACAATCCTAAGGCCTCAACTGACCAGCTGAAATATTACTCCACTTTGTATGTCATACAAGTTTGACTAAGTCATGTCAGAGTTTTTCTTTTTAGTAGTACTACATTGTAGATGAAAATAGTTAATGCGACTAAACTATTCTTCATTAAATATTGCACCATATTTATAGTAGCACTTACTTCTCTTCTCAAATGTGAGGGGTAAATGACTTTTTAGGAATACGTATATAAGGGTAATTTTGGGAAAACAAATTGAATTTTTTCTTGATTATATAAATGGACAATTATTTTGGACCAAAATAAAAAAAAAAATTGATCACTTATTGTGGACCAGAGGGGATATAAAGTGCAAATTTGTGGAGCTCAATCTCATTTAGGAAGCTTGATTTCTATCTTTTAGCAACTAAATAAGAAATGGTTTAAATTAGAAAAGATGTTAGAATCAGATGCACTTGCCCATCGAGAAAGGCACTGACCTCTTTGTTTGACTAAAAAGTATTAGGCCTTCTTAGTTGAACCAATTCGATGAAAAGATTTGGGGTAAATTTTAGCCAAAGATGATTAATTCTAGATCTGAGATAAATGATAGGAATGAACAAGCACAACTAAACATAAATTTTGATTACAGCAGCGATTGACTCTCACGATGTAAGAAATAGATAATTGCTCCAATAATATCAAATGATAATGAGGAATACATAAAGGAAAAGAATCACCATACTCAAACAAGACCGCCCTCCGTCCGTTTGATAAAATAGAATTAAAAATGCATATCAAGATTCTAAGCTCTCCTCTCCTTTTTCAGTCAGGAGCCTCGGGTTTTGGGAGCATCCTCCTTTTTTTAGGGACGTATCTCTTGTTGTATGCGTATGTGATGCCCCCCCCCCTATGTCACACTTTCTCATGATATTTATACTCAACACTTTCCTTACCCAGCGGTCCTTAACCAGAGTACCTAAGTTCTTGAAATATCCTGTAGAATATTCCTCTAGAGTATCTGAGTGATAAACTGATCGTTCAGACCGAATTGAGTGCTCGACCTTGATCGCAGCCAAATCACTTGCCGTCATATCGCTTCATACACACGACTTCGGCTTGGTTGCTTCTTGGTTGCTCTTCCCTAAGTAGAATTCCTTTGATCATATTTTGACCCATACAGTTAGTCCGTCCGCCTATTAGGGTCGCCTTTGGGCGAGCTCGGTGGGCGGACTTGGCCAGTTGCACCTTTTGAGAAATCTGAGCACATTGGCGGAAGAGTGACCCTTCATAGCGAGATGACGATGTGATGCTTCGAGAGTTGTACCTGACAGTTCTGTCAGTTTGAAATAATGTCAACCTGTCATGCGCCATTATGGCGCACGTTCCCTATACGTTATGTCGTTTCCCTTGCCTCATCTGTTTTGGAATTAACGTGGCGGCTTTTGGTTTTCCTGCTCGGGATGTTTGTATTCTTATAAATAGAGGAGAGAATTCTTCATTTGGGGTTGCTGCGTTTTCTACACATTATTCAAAAAACTCAAGGTTTCTCTTTCCTCCTTCCTCAGATACTTACGTTTCCATTTTTTTTGTTTCGAAGTTCCTTGCCATTGTTATTTCCTCTACCCTAGCTCCTGTCACCTACATAACAGAAGAAACATGGCTAGTGCACCTTCTACTTCCGATAGAGTTGCCGGTACCGTTGCATCGGAAATGGATGTGCCCTCCCATGAAGAAGGGACGGCCATTGTGAAAGATAAGAATTTTCCCACCGTGGATGAGATAATTCCATCCTTGGGGAAAGCCACTTTCAAGCATTTACCTATCGCCGATCCTGAGCCCGTTGTTTCCGTAATGGACGCCGCGACACTTACTGCGCTTAAGGCCAAGTGGAGAATTCCCAATCATGTCGAACTCATTCCCACAGATAAGGACGTCGTGCAGGTACATCGCCCTGGGTACTGCGCGCTTTATGCGTACCCGTTTGTCATTGGTTACACACTCCCCCTTCCTTACCTGGCGAAAGACTTTTGTCGTTATTACGGGGCGTGCCCGACTCAGCTCTCCCCATATATATACAAAATTTTCCTCAGTGTATTTATTAGCCATGCTTCTAGTAGCTTTTTCACCGCAGGTGGTGCTTCTTCCGTAGTGGACATAGAGGCTCCCTTTCCATGAGAAGCGGTAACGCTGCCATGAGGAGGAGGTGAGGCGCTTGGTGTCACGTTCTCCTCGTTCTCTCTGTGAGCTATGCCGATAGTGTTTAGGAGATTGGCGGTGAGATCGGCTATCGCCTTTCTCTTTTCTTCTCCATTGCCTGCCATGTCAGATCTGTACAAACAACGAGATGCAGAGCTGTGCAGAGTTTTGTGTGTGTTTTTTTTAGATCTAGAAAAAATTAAAACTTTTAACTAGAAATTAAATTCCCCACAGACGGTGCCAAATTGTTTGACCAAAAAGTTTTAGACCTTTTTGTTAAACTAATTAAGTAAAACGATAATGGATAAATTCTAGTTAAACATAATAAGTTCTAGATATTGATGGGAAGTAACAACCTAGAAATCGCATTAAAAGCTATTTAAGGCCGAAAAGTAATTCAATGATACTCTTGTGAATAAATGAAGGAACGAGGACAAGCAATAAATATGAGAAAGGCAATGAATGTAAATAGGAAGAACATTTCACCCATGATGCGGAAGATTCTTCTCTCTGACAATGAGACAGGCAGTGAACGAGAATATAAGTAATGTTTTCTTGGATCATGTGAGTGGAAAGGAAGAATAATAGATGAAATCAATCACTATATGAAGGTAAGCTTTGTATATTCTCTCAATGGTCAACTACTTACAATAGTTTCTCAGATTCTATCTCACGTGCCCCTTTTCTTCTCTCTTTCTTTCTATTTATATGGGATATTCTCTAAAAACCCTAAAAAGTACAACAAAGGGAATATCCAGGAGAATATTCCTATCAGTAGTTCCGAGACTACACTAGCCGCTATTCATATTCTTCGATATTCAACCTCGACCTCTACAGCTCACTCGGCGACTGCTCATTGTTGGGCTTTGGTCGTCCTCGTCTTACCAGTCCGAATTAGAACACAGTCTTTCACTTTACGTTCTTTTCACGTCCAACTTCCTCAGCAAGATTTTGACCCATACATTATTTTTTTTAGTAAAAGGTTGTATAATCAGGTGAAACATAATCACGAAATAAAACAGAGTATTAATTTAAGAAATCGTAACTTTGAAACAGTGGATAAATTCTACCTAGCATTTTCAATGTACTATGGCAAAATACTGAAGCACTTCCAACTTACTTAAATGGAGAAGCACCTGCAACGAAACAATGCTATAATAAAGATTTCTTCACTTTAATCAAATATGTCGAGTTTGAGTACTCAAATTTACAAAAAAAAGTTGAACATTTTATTTTTTGGTTTTTACTAGTACTAGATTTTTTTGGTAAGAAACAAAATGGAGGAGAGAGTCCAGATCAGCAACTCTCGATTAAGCTTTTTTGCTTTTATTTCAATGAGCAACTGCTGTAGATTGAAGTGAGTCCATAGAGTGGATAAATCCAATTATAACGTGGCATTTTGATGATTATTCTAGGGGTATAATGGTGAATTTATAGTTTAAACAAAAGAAGAGACGGATAGAGGAGAATGAAAAGAGACGAACCTTATCCACTAAAACCTTTATAAAAGCAAATCAAAACTTCCTTCAAAACACCAACCCACCGTGAGAGTGACAAAAGAGGGGGAGAGAAGTATACGTTGCACTTAACAGAGAGCAACAATTTCACAATCATCTATACATACACGTGTCTGTATGTATACACGTTAAAAGTTTTTTTTGAATTTCTTCGAAAATTATCAATGGCGGCTTCAAGGAGCTATTTCGCTGGAGCAAACTACCGATTCCTGTCGAGCGAGCGAGACGTTCCGATGATGAGTCCTGACTCGGCGTTCGAATTTGATGAATCGGACCTGTGGAACTCAGCGGTTTCGCAGTCGCCGGAGTTCCGTAAGTCCGTTCATAGTTCAAAATTCTCGAGAAAGCAGTACGATACGAAGAGCCGCCGTAGCGGTTCCGTAGCATCGGCGGCGGCGTCATTGCCGGTGAACGTGCCGGACTGGTCGAAGATACTGAAGGATGAGTATAGAGAGTATGGAAGGAGAGATAGCGATGGTGATGATTTCAGCGATGAAGACGGCGATGATTTGGAGAATCGGATTCCGCCGCACGAGTTTTTGGCGAAGCAGTTAGAGAGGACCAGAATTGCATCGTTCTCCGTGCACGAAGGAGTTGGCCGTACTCTTAAAGGTAGAGATCTGAGTAGAGTCAGGAATGCTATTTGGGAGAAAACTGGATTCCAGGATTAATTGATCTAACAGTGAGGGATTTTTCCCGATTTTCTTCTATAATTTTACAAATATTGAACTTTTTTTTTTCACTTAATGAAGACGATTTATACATCTTCAAGAGCATCACTGCATTGTGATTGTAATGTTTTTTTCAAAATTTTGAGAGAAAATAAAGACAAAGAAATTGATTCGATTTGGATTGCTCATAATAATGCTGTACTTGTTTAATTTGCACTGTTGAGCAAAAAGTAGTTGTCCTCCATCTTCAGTTTGAAAGTAGAAAGTTGAACCAAAATTGCTTGGCGAAGTGAATGCAAGCAAATAAATGTTAACAAAGTATATACGATATTTATGGTCCAATTTGCTGGTAGTTTCAGATGACAAATTCACCTATTCACTCCATTTTCAAGGATAATCGAGTTCGTTCTACAAGTAATTAATTTAGTGATGAACACGTCATAATTTTTTAAATTGTAATTAACAGCTTGTTTGGATGGTTGTTATCTATTATATTGTATCGTATCGTATTGTATCGTATTGTTACTTTAAATACAATGTTTGTTTTGATTGTTACTTAAATTTTATTGTATCGTATCGTTAAATCCGTCGTTACGTAACGATGAAATGTGCCACTTTATGTAACGACCGATTTGGTGTGGTCGCGTCGTTACCTTGTCTTTTTCTCTCAATCTCACTCTTTATTACTATTAAATAATTTTATTTAGTGCGTGATACCATGAAACGACGACAAAACGATACAATCCATCCAAACATTGTATTCATCAAACGATGCAGTGCAGTATAATACAATACGATACGATACATTATGAAACGATATGTAACAACCATCCAAACAAGCTGTAATGGACGAGTTTCATATCCAGGCTAGGCTATATCAAATTAAGATATTTAAGTATTGTTTAGTTTTTCTCCTATTTCCTGTTAATTATGTAAAAGAAGATATTTGTTGTAATATGGAAGTTGAAGACTATGCAAACGAGTTGTACTACATTAACCAACAAAACAAAAGAGTTGTACTACTGTATAGGGTCAAATTTGACCCTCAGCATCTCTACGCCAGTGGGTACGCCTAATGAGTGTACGCCTACCAACGTAGCGGGTACGACTCGGCCGTGGGGGCAAAAGTGACATCGTTTAGGACTCAATGTCTTCACTAGGGAGACGTTACCTATCTTTGTAATTTTTTTATTCTTTCGAGGAAGGTCTCCTATTATATAAAGGAGACCTTCACATTGTAAAGGGGGGCATCGGATCTAATACAACTCTCTCATTTTTCTGGCTTTCTCTCTCTATCTCTACTTCAAACGAACGTATCTTATTGAGTTCATACTGTCTCTTTGCAACACTAGATCTACAACAATATTATCATCTTTGCATCTCTAGGATTATTATATTTGATTACGATTTACCCTTTTCCTACTTTTGATTGTTTTTTAGCTTACAAAGTATATTGTTAACTTTTGAGCCAAACAATTTGGCGCCGTCTGTGGGGATTTCGAGAATCAAAACCATAGTATCCACCTAGAGATCAACCAACTACCATTCTCTACACCACCAAAAACAGAAAATGGCCGAAAATAACACAAGATCGAAAGCTATATTGGGTGTCACTACCAATCTCCTTGGCCCTCTCAACGAGGCCAGTGACGATGGCATCCTGAATGCAACCCCTAGCATCACACCGGGTGCAGAGATCTCACCTTCCCCATCCGACGGTCTGGCGATCTTGCACGAAAAAGGAGCTTCCACATCTGCGGTTACGGAAGCACCCTCAGCGGTCAAAGAGCTACTGGAAAGATGGCTAACAAGCGCTCTAAGTGGCTTGGTTGAGAGGTCACCACAAAGTAACATCGGATGTACACCAACGGTAGGTACCACTGCTGCCGTGGGTGAACCGGAAGTTACACTAGCGAATAACAAACCCATCGAGACACAGACCAACGATGGCACGCTAACAGCCATCCTAAAGAAGATGGAAGAAATGGAAAATGAAAACAAGGCGCTCCGCGGTCGGATGAAGGAACATCAGGAGAGGGTCGACAAGATCCCCGGTGCTCCCAAGTTGCTACCAAAACGCGACGTGGGAAGGTTCGTTGAACAACCATACACTGAAGAAGCTGCCCCTCACTCCACCCCAAAAACCTTCAAGATGCCACCCTACTTGAGGGTATATGACGGAACCACAGATCCCGAGGATCATCTAATCTACTACGTCACCGCCGTGAAGGGCAACGACCTATCGAAAGAACAGGTACCGTCGGTACTGCTGAAGAAGTTTGGCGAGACGTTGACAGGAGGGGCCTTAACATGGTACTCTCAGCTACCGGCTAAGGCAATATCAACGTTCGAGGAAATGGCGGATAAGTTCGTCACAGCCCATGCAGGCGCGAAGAAAGCGGAGGCCAGGGTCAACGACATCTTCGCCGTTAGGCAAAACACAGGAGAAGGACTCAGGGACTTCCTGGCAAGGTTTAACAGGGTAAGGATGAGTCTACCAAACGTATCGGAAGGTATGGCAGTCGCCGCTTTCCAGAACGGGCTAAGCAGAGATGGTTCGAGGGCAACCAAGAAGCTGTTGAGCCGCCTCATGAAATATCCCCCTACCACATGGGAGGAAATCCACAACGCCTATTGCGCCGAGGTACGAGCGGACGAGGATGATCTTAATAGGCCGACCCAACGGCTAACAGCGATACACTCAGAAACAAGGAGAGATCGATGGAACGAAGGTCGACGGGAAAAACTCCCCCGCTCCAACAGAGATCGACACCAGCCATACACCAGATCCTCCCATCCGCCACCAAGGCATACAGACGCACTACAGCGACACGTCGCCCCACTGTGAAACGAAAGAGGTACGCCCCCTTTATTAACTGCCCATAACTTTTGTGTATCTCCTTCAGAGATAGTGTACGCACTGGAGAAGCTAGGCACCAAGGTGCATTCGCTTCGAACAAGTTCCAAGAACACAGAACGTCGAGGCAGACGGCTTAGCAAAATTAGCCGCAACCACTAAAAACTTCAACAAAGAAAGCGTGGTCACCCTCCTCCATTCAGCCATTGATCACCCCGAGGTACTCTCTCTAAATTTGACTTGGGACTGGCGCAACCAATTTGTATCCTATCTGCAGGATGGAACACTGCCCCACGACAAAAAAGAAGCCAAGAAGCTCCGCGTACAGGCCGCCCGGTATTGCCTGATAAACCACGAGCTCTACAAAAGGACGTTTGGTGGACCCCTGGCCAAGTGTCTAGGGCCGCAACAAACGCGGCCAGTGCTCGAAGAGGTACATGAAGGACATTGCGGTGCCCATACAGGCAACCGCGCCCTCGTGCGCTGCATAATACGAGCCGGCTATTATTGGCCCACTATGAAGAAAGACGCAGCGGAATATGTCCGCCGATGCGAACAATGCCAAAAGTATGCCCCCATGATACATCAACCAGGAGAACCACTTCACTCGGTCACTTCCCCATGGCCCTTCATCAAATGGGGAATGGACATAGTCGGTCCCCTACCAGCGGGACGAGGAAAGGTACGATTTCTATTAGTTTTAACTGACTATTTTTCCAAGTGGGTGGAAGCAGGTGCGTACGCCCAAATACGCGAACAGGAAGTGATCGCCTTCATATGGAAAAATATTATATGCCGCTTCGGCATCCCCAAAGAAATCAGTTGTGACAACGGACGACAGTTCATCGGTCAAAAAACAACCGAATTCTTCGAGAAATGGCGCATCAAGAGGATACTCTCCACGCCATATCACCCTGCCGCCAACGGCCAAGCGGAATCCTCCAACAAAACAATATTAAACATACTAAAGAAGAAACTCGAGGACGCCAAAGGGCTATGGCCCGAGCTGCTACCCGAAGTGTTGTGGGCACACAGGACCACACCCAAATCCAGCACGGGGGAAACACCGTACTCGCTGGTCTACGGAACCGATGCGGTCATACCCGTCGAGGTCGGCAAACCAAGCCTAAGATATTCACACACCAGTGGAACAGAAAACGACACAAACAGGCTCCAAGACCTCGACGAAGCTGAGGAAAGGAGAGAAATGGCCCATATCAGAATGGTGGCCCAAAAGCAACAAGTCGAAAGATACTACAACAAGAGGGCCAAAATAAGACCACTCAAGGTGGGAGACTATGTCCTTAAAGCCAAGACATTGGCATCCAAAGACCCAAGTGAAGGGAAACTGGGCACCAACTGGGAAGGACCCTACAAAATCACAGCAGTAGCCGGCAAAGGCGCATTCCAGTTGGAAACAATGGAAGGGAAAACACTCTAAAACAACTGGAACGTTACTCACCTCAAGTATTTCCACTTCTGAAAGGCGTCTCCCGAGTCGTACTCTTTTTCCCTTACCCGAGTTTTGTCCCAATTGGGTTTTCTCGGGGAGGTTTTTAACGAGGCGGCAGAGGGGACACTTGGAGATACTTGCGAAACAAGTTTATCATATCAACCTCTCCTTACGACCTCCAGGCCGACATGATAAAGGGACCGGACTAGCTTGATCTCCAATGTATGAAAGGCTACGGCCATCTCCAATGTATGAAAGGCTACGGCCATTTCCGATGTATGAAAGGCTACGGCCATCTCCAATGTATGAAAGGCTACGGCCGTCTCCAATGTGTGAAAGTCTAAGGCCATCAATTATATTACGGCTAAGGCCATCACCGTCAACGGTCGACCTAGATTCGACTACGGTGAGTAAACAACTCGACGACAGTCGAAGTCGCCTACATGGCTAAGGCCATCAATTATATTATGGCTAAGGCCATCGCCGCCAACGGTCGACCTAGATTCGACTACGGTGAGTAAACGACTCGACGACAGTCGAAGTCGCCTACATGGCTAAGGCCATCAATTATATTATGGCTAAGGCCATCGCCGTCAACGGTCGACCTAGATTCGACTACGGTGAGTCAACGACTCGACGACAGTCGAAGTCGCCTACATGGTTAAGGCCATCAATTATATTATGGCTAAGGCCATCGCCGCCAACGGTCGACCTAGATTCGACTACGGTGAGTAAACGACTCGACGACAGTCGAAGTCGCCTACATGGCTAAGGCCATCAGTTATATTATGGCTAAGGCCATCGCCGCCAACGGTCGACCTAGATTCGACTACGGTGAGTAAACAACTCGACGACAGTCGAAGTC